TCTTAAAGGTAATGGAGGAGTCCCGGGTACACTGTAAGCAGTCTTCATAATTCATAGCAGCCAGCAGTATGTCATCAACATACTTCAAGAGAACACAGTTCATAGACCTGTCTTTAAAGATTTTTAGGGCGGCGCTGTGGCTCAGTGAGTTGGGCACCAGCTCCATATACCCAGGGTGGTGGGTTCAAACCCAGCCCCGGCTAAACTGCAACAAAAAAATAGCCGGGTGTCATGGTGGGCACCTGTAGTCCCAGCTACTTGGGAGGCTGAGGCAAGAGAATCGCCTAAGCCCAGAGGTTGCTCTGAGCTGTGACTTCATGGCACTCTAATAAGGGCAAAAAAGTGAGACTCTGTCTCTTAAAAAAAAAAAAAAAGATTTTTAGGTCTTTTCCCAAGGCCTCCCCAAAGAGGGTGAGAGTTTTTGAAACCCTGGGGAGCCTTGTCCAGGTCAGTTTACTGGTCATTCCTAACTCTGGGTCAGTCCATTCAAAGGTGAAGATCTGCTGGCTGGCTGGGGCCAGTGGGATAGAGAAGAAGGTATCCTTCAGGTCTAGGACAATAAACACCTGGAATTCTGGTGGGAGGAGACTCAAGAGTGTACGGGTTTGGAATTATTGGGTAAATGGTTTCCACCTACTTGTTTACCTCTCAGGAATCTTGCACTGGCTGGTAGTCTGAGGTCCCCAGCTTCTTGACAGAAAGAAATGGTGTGCTCCAGGATGGCAGGAGGTTAAGATTCCAGATTCTAGTAGATGCTGGACATGGGGAGTTATCCCTTGTCGGGCTTGCCAGCTTATTGGGTTTGGACTGGGAAGGCTCCAGCAAGGAGATGGACAACAACTGGGGGGGTTGTGACTGGCCAGTCCAGCAGGATTTGATTCTGTCCACACTGAGGGGAAGTCTTTTTGGAGCTGAGTCAAGAGTGTGAGGGCTGCTGTTTTCCTTTTCCTCTCCTCCAGGATTACTGAGGAGAAGGTACTCTTCAGATAAAGGTGTGGATTGATGTTAACTGGTAGACTGGGAGCTCAAGAACTAGAGCAGCACTTGGGTCCAGGACTATTTCATCTCCTTGTGTGGAGAATGAAATGGTGGCCCAGAGTTTCCAGAGCAAGTCTCTGCCCAAAAGGGGGTAAGGGCAATCTGGGCTTACCAGGAGAGTGTGGGTCACTTGTTTCCATCCAAGGTCCACAGTCTGATGTTGGGCGACTGGGCACCCATCTGAGTGGCCCCAGTGGCTCCCTGGATGGGGATCTTTTCTTCAGACAAGAGTCCCATTGGTTCCTGCAAAACAGATTGCTCTGCCCCCATGTCTACCAGGAATCAGATCTGGCAGACCCCCACTGTGGCAGATACCATTGGCTCTCAAGGGGCCTAGAAGGAGTGAGCCCTGGCCCCGTCAGTCAGAATCATTATCCTTTTCAGTTGATAGTGCCAAGGCCTTATTGGGTCTGTGCTCGGGGCAGTCATTTTTCCAGTGGCCCTTTTTCTTACAGTATGCACAGTGGTCTCTCTCCAAGTGTTCCTGTTCTAACTGACCTGTGGTTTGGGGCTGCTGGTCTTTCCGCCGTGTTCCTAGAGGCACCTTGGTTCTTTGCACTGTCTGCAGAGCTTTCATAACTTTTGCCTGCCAGTGTGATCCCCTCTCTGCTTCTGCCATTCTCCATTTCTCTTTCTCAGCACCTCTGTTATCATAGACTTTTTGGGCTATCTCTAAAAGCTGAGAAATGTTCATGCCTGTGAATCCTTCTAACTTTTGTAACTTCCTTCTGATATCTGGAGCTGACTGGGAGACAAAGGCTAAGTTGACCGCCCTAGCATTCTCTGGAGCTGAGGGGTCAAATGGAGTGTATACTTGGAAGGACTCTCTGAGCCTCTCCAGATTTGCACCAGGTGACTCCCTCTAGGCCTTGGACCACCTCAGTTATTTTTGACAAATGTATACACTTCTGGGCTGCTGCCCGTAGACCAATTAAGAAATGGGTAGAAACCTTCTAGAGCAGCGGTTCTCAACCTGTGGGTTACAACCCCTTTTTGACAATGAAAATACAGGGCGGAGCCTGTGGCTCAGTAAGTAGGGCGCTGGCCCCATATACTGAGGATGGTGGGTTCAAACCTGGCCCCGGCTAAACTGCCACAAAAAAATAAAATGGCTAGGCATTGTGGCAGGTGCCTGTAGTCCCAGCTACTTGGGAGGCTGAGGCAAGAGAATAGCCTAAGCCCAAGAGCTGAAGCTTGCTGTGAGCTGTGTTGCCATGGCATTCTACCAAGGGTGATAAAGTGAGACTTTGTCTCTAAAATAAGTAAATAAATAAAAATACATTGCAGCATTAGGAAGGTTGAGAACCGCTGTTCTAGAGCCTGCGACCCTGCAAGGTATTGGGGTCCCAGTCTGGCTGTTCCCCTGGGAAAATTCTATTAAACTCTCTGTGCTTTCTCTCCAGCTTCTCCAGAGCTGCGAAGGAATGATTTTCTATCCTCTATTCAAGCCCTGTCTCACTCCTACGCTGTGAGGAGTGTCATGAAAAGCTGCTGGCAATCATCCACGTGGGATGATGAGTCCAGAAGACGGACTCAATCAAGGAAATAAGCGCATGGGGGTTGGGTTTTCCAGTTGTACAAATCAGAAGTAGAGAAGGGAACACAGACGAGAAAAGGGTCACTTGCCTTTTCCAGTTCCTTCCCTTTGGGTGCCTCACAAGGGGGAGGATTGAGGCCCCCTCTGGTCTGTGCGGGATTGGAGAGGAGATGCAGGGGGTGAATGGGTACATATTTGGGGAGTTGGAGCCTCCTGCTGAGGCACTAATGGGACTACCTCAGAGGAAACCATGGGTGAAGATGGCCTTCCCATATGGTCGGGAGGCAGCAAGTCCTCTTCCTCCCTGGAGGGAGTACTGGTTGGTGAACTTGTTGGCCTCTCCATGGGTGTGAACAGCAAAGAGGACTGCAGAATAGGATCAGGCACAGGCTTGCAGCCAAGGTGGGGGAGGGGTGGGAGGGTGCTGAGAACTAAACAGCCACTAGTCAATATAAGGGAATTGGTCTGGGTGACCTGGCTTCCTGGTGACCACTTGGTGCACTGCAGTCACCAGAGCTGAGTCCAGGAAGCCTGTTGATGGCCACCCCACAATAAACCTTGGCCACTTGACCTCACAGGGGACCCAGAGGGGATTCTTTGAGAACCAAACTCCATAATCCTCTGAGAAGCCTGCAGTAAAATTCTTTAGCATACATTATAAAGGTGTCAAAGACTTACTCTGAGTCCCCACTGTTCTGACTCAGCAGACAGAGATGTTATGAGGACACACAAAACCAATCATAGCCAAAAAAAATGACAACTATAAGAAAGAAGCATATAAACAAATCTAACTGGTGCATCTGAGGCCAAAGATCTCCCCCCACCCACGGCATCTGGGAGTTTTCTAGGAAACCTGAGACAGGCCTAACCAGCTTCCAGACAGCCCCAAGGAGCCCATGTCTCCTCCTTGGTTGACCCTCAGGAGCCTTTATCTCCTTCTTGGGTTACTGCTGGGCACTCCTCAGGAGTACTTATGCCGCCTTCTTGGGCCCCCATCATCCTCCCTGTGCAAAATTGGTCCCCAGGTCACTCACTAGCATCCCAGCTACTATTCTATAGCCTGTTTCAGGGAACACCCAAACCACGAACAAAATGCAACAAGACACAAATCACACTCACCTCTTGAGTGGACTATTTCTTTAGGACCTAATTTGGATGAGGAGTTGGCAGGAGTTCCTCCGGAGCCCTCAGGAGGAATCCAGGGAATTATGGGGCCCTGGAACATCTCAGGGGAGTGCCTCCCCTATAATTCCTGTCCTCTCCAGGGGACTGCACAGGGAAGCCAACCCTCTGACTGGGGTCTCCAAATGTTGTACTAGCCCCAAGTGGAATTATAAATCCAGCACACTGAGTTCAAATTAAGCAAGGATCCTTTATTGGGCCAGCCAGTCAAGAGCAGGCTCATGCCACAAAGTCTCTTAACCCCCTTGACCAGGGTACAAAGTTTTTATGTGGGACTTCAAGTGGAGGATGGGAAGCCCAAATGTAAAAATTTTACAGAAAGTAGTATCTGCATGGTTAGAGCTATGGGGAGGGGGTCTTACACTGCATACAGACTTGGGACAGGATTGTGGTTTTTCACAAGATTTTTTCAGTTGTCACAGGATTCAGCAGCTCTCAGCTAAATTCCTTCCTGTTTTGGCAGGGATGTTGCTTGCTTAGGAACTTTTTTGGTTATAAGGGCGGGGGGGCTGCAAGCTCTTAACAAGATGGAGTAAGTCTGGTTCACTTGCTCAAAATGGATGGAATCAGAGCATCAGAGTGCCAGCTACCCAGAAACTGAGGAAATGGAGCTGTCTTTTCAAAGCATTTGCCCCCAGTACACTTCCCTACCATGGGCCTGGGCCCTGTCCCTATAGCAGGGCAACTCACTATGTGATGATGTCTCCATTTTTTTCACAGGAGGGTCCAAGAGATTTATTAGACAGTCTGTGGAAGGATATAAAATTTTATTTTTATTTTTATTTTTTGCAGTTTTGGCTGAGGCTGGGTTTGAACCCACCACCCCTGGTATATGGGGCCGGCACCCTACTTGAGCCACAGGCACTGCCCCAGAAAAGATATAAAATTATTAAAGACTGTAACTACCATATTATATCAGCCTAGTACCACTTAGCACTCTGAAAGTGTCCTGTAGGATATCCCTGGGTTCTCAGCTCTTAATGGGCTGACTGAAGAAATGTCCTTTAAGACTCTAACATAGGAGTTCCAAAGAGTGGCTTAGAAAGCCCTGCTACTCTTACCAATCTGAGGAAGGGGTGAGAGGAATGAACCTCAGAACGATTTAAATTCTCAAAGTGAGTAAGAAGGAAAGAAAAACATGCAGGCAGAATGCAAAGCCCAAGGTAGGCCTCCTGGGTCTGGAGCAGGGGTAGAGACAGGAGAGGTACAAAGGCAGGGACCCGACAGAGGAGTTTCCCTCTTTCTACTTCTTCCTCCCGCCTCTCTCCCTGAGGGCCAGATGGAGGATCGCACCACTGGCTGTATTGTAGTAAGCCAGCGAGTTGGGATCCTTGATGAAGATGCCCTCATACTGCAGTTTCTGTTTCCCTGCAGGCATGCCTGTGGCTTCCTGAATCTTCTCCTTAATGACAGAGACCTGGTCTGTGAGCGGGAGGGTGAAGACCAGCACCTATCCCTTCAGTTTCCATTCTGTCTTATCCTGCATGTTGGGTACCTGGACTTTGATAGACACTGGACCCTTGTTCCTATGCAGGAACTCTTTCTCAGGCATGAGGCTGTCTTCTGTCTTCAGTTTCTTAGAGGCAGGCTCATCCTCCATGGGAGGTGGGGGATGAATAGGGGCCATTGGGGCCAGAGCTGGGACAGTTGCCACGGGTGGAACAGGCACAAAGGGTGTTGGCACAATCATTGGGGGTGGGCAGGGTGCCATGATAGGAGGGGCAAAGGGAGGTATGAGCACCATGTTGATCTTGGGTGTGTGGATAATGGGTGGCATAGGGGCAGTCACTGAGCCAGGAGGCAGCTGGACCAGAGATGCCATTGGGGGGTGGGGCATGATGGGTACTGCAGAGACAACTGTAGTATGGTCAGGAGGCAGCATTGTGGGTGGTTGGGTCATTGAGATGGGTGGGGCTGAGCTGAGGATGTTGGTGGCTAAAGACGGAGGCAGTGGCTGCTGGGGGATTTCACTGGGCTTACTGGGACCAACCTTCTCTTTGGTGTCATCTTCTAGCACCAGGCCCTTGGCCTTATGGATGGCCTCAATCTGCTCCTGGAAAGTGATGTTTGCCTGGGCAGCCTGCTGAGTCCAGGCCATGCTGCCCAAGTGGCCATCCCAGGTCACCTTTTCCTTTGGCTTTTGGATCTCCTCCTCACCAATCTTCTTCCCAATGGCAGTTTCTTCTACACCAAAGATGTCAGTATGCCACTCAGCCAATTGCTTCAAGCTGATCTTAATATCTAGACCTGGTGCATACACCTCATCATCACTCTGCTTCTGATGAATGGAATGATCCTACTGCTCCAGCCACTGGGGGTCGAGAAGCCTAATGCGCATGTGTTCCTGCATTTTGCTGGCAAGGATCCTCTCTCCAGTGATGGGGGACATAAGATATTTATCTGGACCAGTGGCTGGAGGCAGGGACTTGAGAGCTTAGGGGCACAGGCGGACGCATGGTTGTCTCTGGGGGTGGGGGCACCTTCTGCCCTTCATCTTCTGAACCCTCATCCATGTCTTGCACTTGGGTGTCCTGGTCCAGCTGGGAAGGAGGCTCCTCTGCTTTCCCCTGTTTGCCATCCTCCTCATCAGACTCAACTTTCATCTCCACCTCCTCACTCTCCCCAAACGTCTCATAGCGCTCCTGGATAAGGATTTGGGCACCCAGCTCCTCTGGCGTGGTTGAGGGAGAGAAGTTCCCTTGCTCACTGGGTTGGAAGTCCACTGTTTCCACAACCACAAAGCCATGCCAGTCAATCTGAGAATAGGCTACCCGCTCCTTTTCTTTCTCCTCCTCTTCCTTCTTCCTCTCACGCTCCTGGAACTTAGCCCATTCCACTCGGTAGCACACCTTTTGCAAAACTTCATGGGGGTTTTCAGCCTCTTTCTTCAGCTTTTCAAATAAGTCTTTAGGTGGAATCACGATCTTGGTATACTGTTCCACCAACTTCATGAAATAGTCAAAAATACTGTGCTGTGGGCGGAGAAAGTCAAACTGGTAGTTGCACTGTTCTTTCTGCAACAGTTTTATCAGAAACTGACGCCCATTTCTGGCCACAAATTGAGCCGTCAGCTTCACCACATCCAGGTCGAAGGCAGAGATGGAAGGGGGGTCAGCAATGAACTCAAACTTGGGAGGGGGTTCTTTGGGTTCAGTAGTCTCTTGGATCACCTGGGCTTGGACCTTCTGGGGCAGTTGCTGCTGGGTGGCCTGTTGCTGCTGCTGCATGACCTTGGGGATGGCAGCCGAGGGCTCCTGAGCCTTTCCATCCTTGAACTCGCTGACCTTGTGGCAGTAGTAGGTGTGATAAGGATCGTTGGGGTTCAGAAAGTTGAACTTAGGGCAGTTGTTCTCATTTTGTCGTATCCTCCCTACAAATTCAGGCCCATTTCTGGCCACAAAGCTTGCAGTCTTCTCCACAATATTTCTGACTGCTGGAGGAGGGTAAACAATCCCCACCACTGGCTTGGAAAGTGTAGAATCCTCTTGTAAAGAGGCTTCTTCCACAGTGGGCTGTTTTGGCTCTGCAGTCATGACTGTGACGCTCAGAGCTGCCAGTCCACCTCGGGGTAGGTGAGAGGTGCTGCTTCAAGACAGTCTCCTTCTCTGATGCTTCGACCAGTTCCTTATCTCTCCTTAATTATCTGCCTGATAGTGACCAGTTCCTCATCTTTCCTTTAATTATCTGCCTGATAGCTCGCTGTTGGATTGCTGAGGGCTTTTAAAAACCTGCAAGATAAAAAAACAAATCAGCTCTCACAATGACAGCATTCAAACCACACACTGGAAGCTCTGAAAGGCAGACATAGTTTTGTTTTTTTAAACACCATCCCTGCCCACCCTCCCAAACCTGGTGTTTGTCACAGTAAGCTCTCAAGGCACAGGGCTCAGTCAATTGGACTTAAGTGGATTTTTATACTCATGTGGTATAGTATTTGTAAACATAAAATACTTGTAAAAGGAACATTAAATCGTAGAGTAAGTAGATAAAGGCCTCAGTTTTGTTTAAGAAAGAAATCCCTGGGGCTTGCCAGTTCTGGAAGTATGGGCATGAAACATTATTGGCAGTTACTGTAGTGTACCAGAACTGGGAAAGATTCACTTTTTACCCTATTTCTGTACTATCTAATGATGTCACAAATAGCCTAGGTTACTTTGTGCATTACCTTTTTTTTTTTTTTTTACAGAGCCTCAAGCTGTCGCCCTAGGTAGAGTGCCATGGCATTATAGCTTAAGCAACCTCCAACTCCTGGGCTCAAGTGATTCTCTTGCCTTTGCCTCCCAAGTAGCTGGGACTACAGGAGCCCGCCACAATGCCTGCTTGGTTTTTTTGTTTGTTTAGCAGGCCCAGGCTGGGTTCAAACCCACCAGCCCTGGAACATGTGGCTGGTGCCCTAACCACTGAGCAAGGCGCATCCCTATGCATTACTTTTTAAATTGAAAAGAAAAAAGTATTTCAGTATCATGGTAGTCACTGCTCATGTGGTCTATGACTGCACTTAGTCTGCCTAGGTCATGGCACGGGGACATGGGGTGGTTCAATGACGTTCAGTCTGAATGCAACTACATCAACTATGACACCATCTCTCTTGCACAGCAATTACTACCAAAACACTTCTAAAGGACTAAAAGTATTTTCCAGGTATTTGAATAAAACTGGATATACAAAACTCCTTTTTAATTCTTAGGTAGTCTTTTAAAATGTAGCACAACTTCCTATCTTGACACAAAGACAACAGATGATCCGATTGCTCATGAAGTACAGAAGGCGTTTTAGAGGAAAGATGTCCTGGGTGCCAAGAAGGCAGGTGGGGCTGTCTGCCACCTCACCATGAGGGCACCTGTGATGCTTCCCTGTCATCTCCCATCACTGCAGCAATTTCCGTTCACTTTGTTTAAAATGTCTTGGCATTGAGAACTGTTGGATAAAATATGTCCCAGTCGCAGGCATTAAACATTAAACACAGTCAATGCTGGTAATTCCCATCTACATCCCCAATCCTTACTCTTTCCAGGCTCCCAACTTTGTAGACACCTGCCTGCTGGTCATCCTGGGTGCTGATGGCCTAAACAGACGTCTGCAACAGCATGCACCCAGTTACTGAAGACACTAAAGACATTCCAGTCCTCCCACCTCAGCTACTCTCATTCAAACCAATCAGCCAACAACGACCAGGACTTCCCCACAGGACTGGAGCAAAAGCTCCCAACGCATCTCCCTGCTTCCTCTCCTGCCTCACCTCCCGCCAAGTCCAGACACCAGAGTAACCTCTGAGACTATAAATCTGATTGTATTTGCTTTGCTGTGAACACTCTCCTGTAGCTTTGTCCACTGCACTCAGGAAATTCCAATTCGACATCACCTTATGATCATCACTAAGTGGGCCTCTGGCTACCTCTCCAAACGTCGACCACAGGAAGCTTCTTTCTGTCCCTGGAACGCTCCCGACTAGGGTCTGCAAGGCCCTGATTGCTCCTCCCTCTCCTCATAACGGGCTCCCAGTCCAGACCTCATCTGGAATGTCATTCCCTCCAGCCAGCCCCCTCGCCGTGATCTGCTCCACTCATCCTCTTGTCCCCTCAGTCCTACCCTATTCAAACATCCTGTTCTATGTTTTCCATATCAATACTGCCGCCTGAAGCAGCCTGGTTTTGTGGTGTCCCTCTGCCCAAATTCAAGGTCCGTGAAGGGACGAAACCGGTGTGGTTTACTCGCCATGCCCAAGCAGCCAACAGACAGAAACAATTACCCGCTGAGTAAATGACTCAGAAGTGCTGGAACACTGCAGTCCCTGCTCAACCCAACTTGGTGCCCTCTCCCCACGAGGGCCCTGCTCCAATAGAACCGCCACGAGCCAGGTGTGGCAACCAGGTGCTGGCGGTGAGGGTCGTAAGAACCAAGAGAAGCGACGACGCCCAGGCTCCCGCATCCTCTGCCTTTATAGGGCTGTGGGAGGTGGAGCCTCTCGTGAGAGCACCATATCTTGCGAGAACAGCAGCACCGCCCCTTCCCCCGGGGCAAACACCAGGTCCACCTTCACTGGACCAGGTTTCCAGGATGCTTATTCTGTTTTGTAGGGAGAAGGCAGCTAGGGTCCGTTGTGTTGAGAATGTGCCTTAGTTATGAAGTGTTTATTAAAATAATTGCCCCTGTGTAGATGTGCTGTGATGGGCATAGGAGCTACTGGAAAAACAAGAATTGACAACCCAGCTCGGCTCTCTGTACACAAGTTCCCTGCGGAAACTTCTAGATGAACATTTCAGTTCTTATCAGAAAGCTCAATTGCATCTTGTCTTATCTCTTTTACTGATGGAAAAATTCAGGTCCAGTCCGGGAAGTAAAAGTGCCCTACAGCAAGGACGAGATGCAGGCCCAGCTCTGAGCTCCCTGCAGAGCGGCTTCATGGAGCCTGGGCTTGTGTCAAAAAAGACACTTCCAGGGCGGCGCCTGTGGCTCAGCGAGTAGGGAGCTAGCCTCATATACCGAGGGTGGTGGGTTCGAACCCAGCCCCAGCCAAACTGCAACAAAAAAACAGCTGGTTGTTGTGGGGGGTGCCTATAGTCCCAGCTATTCGGGAGGCTGAGGCAAGAGAATCACCTAAGCCCAGGAGTTGGAGGTTGCTGTGAGGCGTGATGCCACAGCAGTCTACGGAGGGTGATAAACTGAAACTCTGCTTCGAATTAAAAAAAAAAAAAGAGGCTTCCCAGGTCTGAAGGTGTTCAGGCGTGTGACGCTCTCGCTATACTTGCTATCCACCACTCCACACTTCCCATGCTGTTTTTGTTTTGAGGAGGGGGTCTCTCTCACACACAGTAGGTGTTCAATAATTAGTTGCAGGCTTGCTCACTGTGTGGATGTCCAGGGCAACAGGGAAGGGCATGGTCCTAGCCGGTTGGGAGCATCATGAGCTCTGGCAGCTGCTGCAGTCAGAGGTTGCCACCTCCCAGGACCCAACCTGTCCCTTTTCTTCTACCCACACCAGCTCCTGGAAACCGGGTGGAGAAGGTTGGAGTGGCTTGCCTCTTCCAGGAGTGGAGGAGGTCTGGGACAGCCCTGCCTGGTGGGGCAGGGTTCACCTGAGTCATCACTGCCGGAGTTGACCCGCTGGGGAGAAGTAACCTGGATCTGATTGATACAGGATTCCACCACTCGGGGCTAGACAGGGAGCCCCCATTCTCTAGACCCAGGTGAGCTCCGAGGTCAGACCCCCATTTGCGGGCACAGACTGCCTTCTTCGGGACACGCCCTCTGGGCTCTGATCAGAGCATGAACAAAGCCGCCTGTGATGGTTTTGGGGGTGGTTCCACCTTGGGTAGGAGCACACACCTTAATCCCTTCTCAGGGACAGACTGTAAAGGACCAACTGCCAGCCTTGTGTTATCCTCTAGACTTCAGACTCCTAGATAGGCCCATCAAACATGGCGGCTACGGCGATGGCTACTTCAGGCTCGGCAGAGAAGTGGCTGCTCAAGGAGGAAGACAGAACTAAAGTGCAATTTGAGACCAGCAAGGAGGTGGACGTGACCCCCACGTTCGACACCACGGGCCTGCGGGAGGACCAGGTGCGCGGCATCTGTGCCTATGGTCAGGGGGCGTGGGCCGCGGAGGGAGAGCGGGGGTCGCCGAGGGCCTGGGCTGGGACGGGACTGGGCGTGGCGACTGGTCCCTCAGGAGGGTCGGCACCTGTGACCCTCGCCTCCAGCACCCACTCGCCACGCCTGGTTCGTGACAGTTCGTTTGGAGCGGGCTGCTAGCGCGGGGAGGTCACCGAGCTGGGTCCAGCAGGGGCTGCGGAGTGTTCCCGGCACTTCTGAGTCATTCGCTCAGCAGATAAATGTGTTGTTGTTCTGGACATTGCGGTTCGTGCCTTTACGGAGCTTGAATTGGGGGAGAGGACAGCACAAAGCCAGGGCTGCTGCAGGCAGCGGTGGTTGTTATGGAGAACATAAAGCGGGGTGTTTGAATAGGGTAGGACTGAGGGGAGAAGAGAATGAGTGGGGCAGGTAGACTGAAAGGGGGTTGCCAGGAGGGGATGACATTCCCGGTGAGGTCTGGACTGGGAACCCGTTTTGAGGAGAGGCGGGAGCAGTCAGGACCGAGGGAACTGCTGGTACCCGGGCCTTGCTGACCTTAGCCGGGGGCTCCAGGGACAGAAAGAAGCTTCCTGTGGTCCACTTTTGGAGAGGTAGTGTAATAACTGAGTCCCCAACCCTTAACCCCCTCCCTAAGACCAGTGGGGAACAAGCCCCTTGCCCTTAGAAAAGGGAATTTCTCCTAAGCCTTTTAGCCACAGCCCCCACAAGGGTGGAGGAGTTAGATTCTGGGAAGAAGCTTGAAGATAGGAAAGGAAGGAAGGGAGGGGTGGATTCCAAATAAAGTCCCAGGTGAAAAGGTCCCAAGCTGTTCTCGGCCAACTTGCCCAACAGTCGTGCCCCTTAGGATGAACTGTGCACCCCCACCCTTAGTTGTGTAAGCCCCTGAACTATGTAACCTTACCTTATGATTTTGAGATCATGCACTTGTGATGTATCTT